TGGCCACGCTACCGGCCGCGCCGCCGCGTGACCCGGTCATCGACGCGCCTGCGGCCCGGATCGTCGGGGCCTCAGCGCGCGCCGAGGCAACAGCGGCGGACTCGACGCCTCCGCCGACAGGACGGGGCTGACGACGACGTTCGTTCTCGACCAGTCTGACGACGATTTCAGCAACAGTCTGGGCAATACCGGCAACGGCGTCACCAACGCGCCGCCGGAGGAGGCGATGAGACCCACCACAACGACGGTGGCTACGACCACGCTCAGCGAGCAGGACTTTTTCGCGGCGCTGTGCGACGAGCCGGGCTGCGATGGACTAGGCGAGGAGGGCGGGGTGCGCCCGTGGGTGGTGCTGGCGGCGGTGGGTGCCATCGTCGGGCTGGCGGCGGTGGCGGCGGTGGCGGCGTGGGCGGTCGTTCGGCAGCGAGCGCTCACCACCGTGTAACCTTGTGACCTGGGTTCGGTCATGGCCACAGGGCCACCAGGACCGTGGGTAGCATCCACAATGAAGGCTTTCCGTTCGGCTGTGCCCTATAATTTGTCACACTGAGCTGTGACCACTGTGAGGGATCTGTGAGGCTCGAACCCGAGCATCCCAGCATTGTCCAACGATGCGTGACTTCCGTCAGCGGATGGAAATATTGTGGTATATAACCGAAGATATGCTTTTGTTTGCTTGCTCAATCGGTCGCGATGATGTCTCTGATATTAATATACTGACCTAATGCCGGCCAGTTTTAACCCTTTTTTGTTGTTGCACCGACAATAGCAAATACTTTTATGTCTGCAGAAAATATTTGCTTCAACGCATGCAGGATTTTTAATGAGGCCTTTGAAGGCACCGAAAAGGTCAATGTAAGAAAACGGTTATATCTGCATGTGTTTTACGTGATATCTGTCGATGTGAAATATGGTATGCCACATATAATATGCAGCTATGCAGCCATTGGCTTCTACTACTGCGCACAACTCCTGAATTTATACTTACTGGCCACGCTCATTCTATGTGTGTCCTGCACCAGTACAGTTTAGTCTGTTGCAATTCTGTTTCGATTTTTGCAATTTTGCCACCAATCCGCTCGGAAAGGTATGCGGTTTTGTCGGTGATCATGTCCGGTAAATCAGAAGCATTTTTCACCCCGGCCGTGGCGTTAAAGCAAAGCCCAGTTGCCCCTACTGGGTGTCTTTGGCCATCGTGACGACGTTTACTGATGCTCACCCACGCGGAATCCGAGCCCAGCGAGTGTGATGGTGTCCAATGGCAAGATAGACGCGTGCGTCAAACTGCTGTTCGTCAAGCTGTAAGTACGTCAAACTGCTGGGTAATGTAACCCGCGCGCAGTGAATCACAACCGCCGGAACCCCAAAATTCTCAAAACCTCTATTTTTGAGCCCCATCCCTTGCGCCGGCGGCGGCACGGGACGTCTCCGCCGAGCGCGTCCGGCTGGTGTGTCATGAGTTACATCCGTGACTCATAGCCCACCAGCCGTGGGCTATGAGTCACTCGCAGCGGGCCGGCCGCGGAGGCGGGGAGTCCCCGACGGTGCGCTGATATCGCGGCGGTCACTGTCGACACCGTCCGTGACGAAGCCGATCTCTCACCTGCCGGCGCGCTGATATAGCACCGGTCACCGTCGACACCGTCCGTGACGAAGCCGATCTCTCACCTGCCGGTGCGCTGATATAGCACCGGTCACCGTCGACACCGTCCGTGACCAAGCCGATCTCTCACCTGCCGGTGCGCTGATATAGCGCCGGTCACTGTCGACACCGTCCGTGACCAAGCCGATCTCTCATCGCGCTGATCTATCCCCGCCGAGCGGGCGATGGGAGGAACAGTTACCGCCTCCCGCTCACGGGCTTGAGCGGAATCTTATTCAAGGGAGTGTCCTACCTTTGGGACATATTCCAAATAATCTTCTAGCAAAACCTCAAGACTTCTTAAGTTTTATAAAAGCACTAGGTTATGCCAATACAGTATGATCAAGATATCACAAATAAATACATTTTAATGATTTGTTAGCCCAAATTACGTTGCCAACACTTAGTGGCAGCACCGCACCTTTTCCTCCCTTGGTAGCCCCAGAGTGCGTTCCAAGTACCCGACAATCGCAGGCGTCACGACAGCCGCTGCCGCCAGGGCGACATAATCTGCTGAGGGCCGTTGTTGGCTGCTACGGGTGAGAGGTACCTTTCTGAGCTATTCTAACCCGCACATTACGCGCCTATGGCTTAAAAATGGCACCTGTACTGGTATGAATGACGTCAGTACAACTGAACGTTTGTGGTTGGCATAGCGTGCAGCAAGGACCAGTTAACGAGAAGCGCATTAGTTGAAGTTTGAACCAGTGCATCAATGTAGACCATGTGATCTCCGTTTCCGAAAGCCAAGGTGCACTTTGAGAAGAGCCACTGCGGTGGCTTTTTTAGAAAAAAAATGAAGGAAATCAAATATATTACTTTTAGAATGATTGATAGTGTGCCCAATTAAATTTCTCCCGCAGGAGCGGCTACTTGAAATCGAAATTCTAACCTATTCAGAATTAAAAAAAGAAACTGGTACTCCCTATCAAATTGGACGCGTCTGATTTAGTAATAAATGAAAAGTTCAACAAAGTGACATACTCCCTTTAGAGGGGGCTACACCAACTATGGGCATGTTTCAAAAACATACTCTAGTGAAACCTCAGGACCAGTTACGTTTTATAGTGGCAATGGGCAAGTCCAGTGCGGGACCGCAAAGGCCTAAAAAGGATATTAATTTTAATGATTTTTGCACTTCGAATTCCTCTGAGAAAGCTTTGCAGCATAACTACAGTTTTTCTCGTTGACATCGTGATAATTAATTATAAGAACGGTTGTGTTTTCCCAGCGAGCGGCAAGGGCACGTTACCGAAAAGTGCACTGGTCAAAGTTTTAACCAGTGCGCCACTGTGGACCTTGTGATCCCATCCCCAAAGCCAAAGCGCGCCTCGAAAAGGACCACTGTGGTTGACGCCATAAGGGATAAACAAAGCCATAGCATTACGCTTCGCTGATTTCGCGGATAATAGCGCCAGGTCTACGTATCTTTTTGTATAAAAAGAGTGCTTCAACATTTTGTAGCATTTTGCAAAGACATCTTGACATCTTAATGCGCTGCAAACATTACACAACACCTACGGTGAAAAAGCGAGGCATGTGAAATGCATCTAGAAAGTACAAAAAGTTGGGATAGGTATTTAGGTATTCGATTACAAGTCTTACCTAGTAACCAGTATGAATGTACAACTTCTCGTATTCTGCAACGCAAAACGGAATTAATGTTGGACTCTTGCATACCTTATAACATTGATTGAGAGCCAATTAACAAACGTTATATCTGGGAATCGTGCTCACAATCGTCAGGTACGAACGAATCCACTATGCCATTTTGTTGACATTGAAGTTCGCATTGCCAGTGGAATGACAGGGTTTGAATGGCGTTATTTTGACATCATGGATGCCTGACTAGCTTTGAACGCGTATGCACGAGCTATTTTGCACATCTTTGCGGGCGTGTAGTTCAGAAACCAGAGGTTTTAGGTTTTAAGAAGGGCAGGGCAGTGAACTGCACCGGCTGATCTCCAGGAGGACTATTTCAGTTCAAATCCCCATACAAATGTGGAGCACCCCCTTCGAGTAGACTTTCCGTTCGTAGCTTTGTTCACAGCAATCGCCACGGAAAAGGGAAACACCACAAGCCTGGTTTCCAACACGCTGTTCCGCTTTGGTCGTCGACGGAAACCACGTGCTGTACCGGCTACACCACCCCAGTGGCGCCTTCGGTTAGAGGTTGTCCGACTCGGGATTCAATAGTTAGTGGAAAGTATTTGGTTCAGATCTGACACATGTCAGATTTTTCTTCGACCAACTCCCACCCAGGAGATGGCAGCACTGGAGAGTGTTCGTCCTGTCACGGGATTTACGCTGCACCGACCAGCGCCCACGGCAGTGGGACACGGACGTGATCCGCCTTTAAACAAATCCTTCGGTCCGCTGGGATGTCCCGAGAGCACGGTCTCGCCTTATGCCACTGGAATAGCGCCCTGATTCACCGGACCCGCGAAGGCGGGATAGCCGCAGATGCGCGACAGTGGGGAAGGGAAGCGTAGCGTGGCAGGAAGCGTGTGGTCTAGGCTTGTCTCGCAAAGGCGCCGAAGCTGGTGGCTGCATTACAATCCATAAATGGGCAGAGACGAGGACACGCATGGAATCAAACTGAGCAGCCGGTGCTGATGCATACATTTCAGCTCGTCCATGGGCCAAAAGTGAATGCACAATCAACCACAATCAATCCCATATTCCACGAGCTCAAAAAACTTATCACCGGCACCATGAGTCTCGTAGGAATTAGGCACGCTAATGCAGTGATTCTGCACTACGCCTAGTGCAAGGTGCATGCTGTGGTTCGGCTCGGATAACTGTATTGAGGCGAGGTGTAATGCGATGGTTACCAACAGCCCAGTGGACGCTCTGCATGTGCAACGACGTCACAATGAAACGTTTCGCAGAGCTCAAGGCGCGGCAAGAAGGACAACCTCAGCGGTTACTTCCTGGCGTCCAGAAGCATGCACTGGCTCCCGGTGGGTGTTTATCTGTCAACAACACGTCAACTCTCGCTGTGCAATGCAATATAGATCGGTTAACGCCCATCGATATATGGCATATGACACGATATACAAGTGTTTGTAACTCGAGCAAACAGTCGTGGTGGAGTCTTAGTACATCAATTATTTTGCACGCCAGTTGATGATAAAACCATGCATATCTACCTGACTGGCTTCAGATCGTTTTCCTCACAGAATGCCCAAATTTTAAGAGAGTTCCTTTAGTTATTGCACGTGCCATGCGATTCTGACTGCCCGCGAATCATGTGCGCAACAATAATAATTCATGGTCTCCACTCCAGATGGCACTTCATGCGTGCAGCCTCAGAGCTGTCATGTCATCGGCGAATCGTGAAAACCGCTCTGCAACGTTTGCCCTGTGTCTAACAGCCCCCGATGTGTAATAGGCCAGTTTGACTATGTCTGACATCTAATATTGATCCATGCCTGACGATGCGCAGGTGGGTGCCTCCCTGTTCGCCAGCAACATCGGTAGCGGCCACTTCATCGGACTGGCCGGCACCGGCGCCGCGTCCGGCATCGCCGTGGCCGGCTTCGAACTGAACGTGAGGAGCATTGCCATCTCTCACGGCGGACGCCTGCTCAACTGCCGGCCCCTCACACTGAATGTCGACGCGACCCAAGTCGCTGACCTCCCCGGCACCGTCAGTCCTCACCAGCGGTCGTCCCGCACACGGGACCGCATTAGTGTCCCTTACTGTAGCGGCCACGTGACTGGCATTCACGTCATTGGGATTCACGTCATTGATCACCCTGAACTTCACACAACTGGCCCTCCACCACGATTTCCGTTCCTCGCACTGACGGTCCGTCACAGCGACCGACCCACACTTTGGTCGTCACGCAGCCGAATGCGTCTAGCTAGTGTCTCTCCTCCTAGCGGTCTGGTGAGGTATCCCCGCCCCGCCACTCCCTGAGGCCAACGCTGCCTGTCATGAGCTGCGTTGACTTATAGTCGCCTTCACAGTATCGATGCGCACGGCTCCTTACGTTGGCGGACCGTTCCGTTAGCCATTCCTCGCCGTGGACTGCGGAGTGCTGTTTCCTGTGACCAACCATCTCACTGACGGCCATCACGGGATGTGGCTCACACTGGTCGGCCCTAACGCCGACCGCTTCTCAACTGACCATGCCCAGCCGTGACCGTACTGACCTCCCTCACGGCCATCACGGGATGTCGCTCACACTGGTCGGCCCTAACGCCGACTGCTGCTCAGCTGACCATGCCCAGCCGGGACCGTGTCTCACGGCACTGGGGACGTCCACCTTGGCTGGTCGACAGGTCGGCATATTGTGTTAGCTGAGGCCGGCCGCCGTGCCCAGAGTAACCCGAAGAGAGGCCTGTGTGCACCGCAGGCCGTGTTCGTGCTCATCATTCTCGGCTGGGTGTTCGTGCCTGTGTACACCTCCGCGGGCGTGTACACCATGCCCGAGTACCTGCGGCTGCGCTTTGGCGGCCAGCGGATACGGGTGTACCTGTCTGTGCTCGCCATTCTCCTCTACATCTTCACAAAAGTATCAGTGAGTATCAACTGACCGCAGAAAAACCGAAACTCCGGACGCGGCTCTATCCTAGTATCCCTCTGTTTGCCATACATCCTTGCACATAGGCATCTGTTGCTGCGCTGTGTGAATGCTGTGCATTGTGCATTGCGCGTGGATTAGATGACAGTCGGTTTTTTTTGGTAGATGGGCTGGAGTAAATTCGGCATGAGAAATTATTCTGAACATAAATCATGACAGAAGCTCATGGGCGTGCCTGCCCTGGACCGGGAGCAGCAGCCAACAGGCGGACGTGTACGTTAAGACACCGGAGCGTCCTCCACTTGGTGAGGTCCGAGCTGTGACGCCCTCCTGGCCCACCTCAGGCGGACCTGTACGCCGGGGCGCTGTTCATCCAGCGGGCGATGCAGTGGCAGGGCGACCTCGGCCTGTACCTGGCCATCATCGTGCTGCTGGTGATCGCCGCCGTGTTCACCATCTTCGGCGGCCTGACGGCCGTCATCTGGACCGACTTCGTGCAGACCGTGCTGATGATCGCCGGCTCACTCATCCTCTGCGTGCTCTGTGAGACATAGGTCATCACAGTCCCGGTCACACGGTCACCGCGTGTTCTGTTAAATGTAGCCCGTGTTCGCTCATAGCATGCATGCATGTGTTTGCGCCACGAGAGATGTACTGGACATGGTTGGTTTTCCGCGAGAGGTGGTAAAGCAGAAGCCATGTCACATGCACGATGTAACTGTTTTCCGCTCTTCCACAGCGTTTGTGGCGGTTGGTGGGTACGGTCCGCTGATCGAGCAATACTTCCTGAAGGAACCGAGTCCGAACGTCACCGTGTACGACAGCAACAACAGGTCGTGCGCCGCGCCACGGGAGGACGCCATGCATCTGTTCAGGTATTAGCGTATCAAGGCTCAGCGGCCAATCTGGCTGGAACCTGACGTGGATCGCCGGGCAGGCACGAGGCAGCTGACTCAGACTGCTGCCTTGCAGTTTGAAGAAATGTCATTCGAAAGGGAAGCGGGAGACTATAAGTCAGCTTCCGTGCCAACTGCACAAAGGTCGACGTGTTATGTGAAGCATGTACGTAGTGTATGGCACTGCACGAGAGGTTGAGGGCAGCGCTTTTATTCCTTTTTTTTCTACAATTTATCCGCTGCTTTTAAACATAAGGGAGATGACACACACTCGTTCAGTTTAACTGTTGCACAGTCTGAGCTAGCCCACAGATTTCAATTGACAGAGGGGGCTAATAGTCCCCATCATGCACTGTAGGGCTTCAAGTACACTTAGACAACAAACGACATTCTCGAGTTTCCGAACAACATTCCACGTTGATTGTTTTGCGCCTGAATTTAAGGTTAAGGTCATATCAGGTATAAATACAAGTTTGTTTGATAAGTTGGATATGTAAGTTAGGCTTAGGTTTGCATGTTGATTCCCCACAAATCAATCGTAATGTAGAGATTTGTAAACATTTATATTATTTTTGAACAATAGCAATGCATTCAAATCCTGAAACTTACGAGTGACAGCGACAAATCCATTTCACGATTTCATACATCATGTTTGTGTAGTCTTTCATTTCAATCGTTGTTGTTCTGTGCGCAGATCGGCTGCTCCGGGAGACTCGGACCTGCCCTGGACAGGCATGACGTTCGGCCTCACGATATCGGCCGTCTGGTACTGGTGTTCAGATCAGGTCAGCCCCACTGCACCACGTGACTGACCCGCGCCGGCGCTGTCTAAGGGCGGGGCAGAGAAGCCTCAGAGAAGACTGCAAACAGAGCGTCCTTCGCCAAACGTTTAGACGGTTGAAAGTCCTGCCGGTGATACGCGTGCTTGCACGAGATGCATCTTCAAAAGTAATGAATAGACAAAATGCGGCGTGTAATATGTGACAACCTATATAACTTTTTTTTCGCTTAACTCTCAAGAAAGATTGCTACGCGTAATATAATGTCAGCTCTACTTGGTACCAGGATCTTAAGCATGGCACAATGTCGTGCTGAACATGAAGTGTTGATCTCCGACAGCCGTGGTCGCTGTACGTGTCCTCGACCCTCCTATCCAGGTGATCGTGCAGCGCACCCTGGCCGCCAAGAACCTGACCCACGCCAAGGGTGGCGTGCTGCTGGCCGGCGCGCTCAAGTTCCTGCCGCTCTACCTGCTCGTGCTCCCTGGCATGGCGGCGCGCGTGCTGTACACGGACACGGTGGCCTGCTCGGACCCGGAGGCGTGCCGTAGCATCTGCGGCTCCGAGTCCGGGTGCTCCAACCTGGCTTACATCGAGCTGGTTCTTAACCTGCTGCCGCCCGGTGAGGGGGGGGGGGGGGGCGGCCGGACACGGTACCGGCGGCCGTCCAGTGAGATGGGAGGGGGGGGGGGGGCGACCAGAAACGGCAGCGGCGGCCGCCCGGTGAGAGATGGGCGGCGGGGGGGGGGGGGGGCGGGGGGAGCTTCCGGACACGGTACCGGCTGCCGCCCGGTAAAGGGGAGGCCGGATATGGCACCGGTTCGTGCAGCGAGGCGGCCGCGCGGAGCAACGTGGGAACGCCCAATGAAGAAACGCACATTCATTTAAGTGCGCTTGTGATTGTGCAGTCAGCCGAGACTAAACGGGAAATACTTGTAAAATGTTTGTACAAGCCTTCACGCAAAGGAGTGTTCATGTCGGGGTGCATCTGCTATTTATACGCAGCTGGCCGTTGTAACCGATGGCCGCTGTCCCAAATACGCACCTACACGTTCCACTGCGGGAATACGGATGAACAAAAGGAAAGCTTACAAAGTACTCAATGCGTAGACAATATATAACGATGCTATGTTTTTCAGTTGTTGACAATTTCAAGTGTGGGATCACTGCACGGGTTTCTTTCCCAAAGCTTTGCATTGGAAACTACGCGAATCCTCACAACGTCATATGGCGGGAAGGCTACCAATGACGTGGTCCAGGTCCAACGGATCTAAGCAACTGCCAAGGTCTCAGGCATACGTAATAGGCTCCCTGCCTGCGAAAGAAGCCCTTCCCAGCAGGCAGCCGGCATGCATTTGAGACCTTCAGTTGCGGGGCTGCTGGGCTAAGTTTGGTTTGGAGAACACTGACCGCAGCCGCGCAGTCAGTGGTGACCCAGCTGGTCCATTCCACCGCCCAGCTGCTGCACGTGGGGGGATTTCACCAGACAGAGCTGCTTAGGACAAATCTTCAATATCCTGCCGACCGGCCAGGTCGACCGTCTGCAAACTAGTGGCAGTCTGTATTGCAGTCTCACTTACCGTACACAGCAACTAATGGCAGTCTGTATTGCAGTCTCGTTTACCGTACACAGTAGCTGCGGACTAATGTGTGGAGCACAGCCGGCTCTTTCCATCTGTGTATCCTCCAAGTATACGAGGCCTGTATACATGTTGCGCATTTGAGCTTGCTTGACCTGTCAGACGCACCAGACTTCCTGAAATGTCGGTCCCAGCGCCCGACTCTCCAATTGACGCAGTTGACAGTGACGTTTCGGTCGGTTCTAACGCTGACAGCAATATGGTTAAGCTGACCTTGCAATGCAATCCTTCAGGCGTCTCAGGTCTGATGCTAGCGGTGATGCTGGCCGCACTGATGTCCTCCCTCACCTCCATCTTCAACTCGGCCTCCACTCTCTTCACCATCGACGTATATACCCGGATCAGGGGCGGCGCATCAGAGCTGGAGCAGGTCATCGCCGGCAGGTCAGTGCGCACCCTGCCGCCCTTCAGGCAGCTTGTCAGCATTGTAGCGGGAAGCTGAAAAAGAACAACGAAAGCGGTTACGCAACGATCATAGCAAAAAGTGAATAGATCCAGGGCGGTGAGCGAGGCGAAGTCGGGGACTTCCAATGCAGTTATGGCTGGCAAGCGCAGGCTGGACTGTCACGCAGACCTGCACGCGTCCCCGACAAGACGGAAGCGTGTCCTGAAGGCGGCAGCCTTGTCGGGACTTAATGACATGACTCTGGCGCGTCATTTCAGGTGGTCACACGTGCTTGAAGGGAGGGGAAGGCATGTGTGCAGGTGCGATTGCGTCTGTAGTTTGAGCTGTCCGGCTGGAGGTGTCAGCGCACCTATGTACGCAGTCGCTTCAGTTTCGTAATCTGAGCCAGCCCGTCCACTTTTTATTTCCCGCGTCTTGCAAAACAGTCTGTATCACACCCATCCGCTGCTCTGGAGGCCTTTCGGGCCTGAACAAATTTTGGCCCATCTCTATCCCGTCTTCTTGGAAGAGTCGTTGAAAAAGTTTGTACACAGTTTCTGTCCCTTTCCCTCCGTAAACACCTCTTCACGTAATCTTCCCAACATGCGTCCTGGACACGTCACTCCATGAATGCCGCCCTTTTATTCATTCCCTTTCAGGGCAGAGGTAAATTTCAGCCCCCCCCCCCCTCTCATGGGGTCTTCGGATGGCTAGTCTCAAACAGTCCGGAATTTTCCAACTTTCGGATGCATTTTTCCTTGTGTCAGAATTTCAAGCGCGTGGGGTTCGCAGACAGGGTTCCAGAACGCCGTATCGGGAGCAACTTCAACTGAAATTTGTCAATCTTGCCCAGACGCTATCTTCTCTGGATTGTACGCACCGTCTTGCCCTTACTAGACAAAATGATACTTTTGGTGAATACAATGCGGATATGGTTATTGCAATCAAGCCTACGTAGCGTGCTACAGGTGGTTCCAGGGCTGCAAATGGGGATTTCTAAACAAGTGCGAAGTGTATTGCGAGTCACCAAGGCAGGTACATAGAGGAGCTTTCGGGGTCTAGAAGCAAAGCCTTGTAATTAACCAGTCCTTGTAACAAAATGGCATATACGTTGACAAAGGTGTGTTCACGTTTGCTTTTGAGTCTTTTTGACCCGAAACTTGTTATTCTTAGTTCCATATTGCGACGATTTTCCCTTGTTAGTCCCAATCATGAAGACTAGCCTCAGCTGAAATATTCCTGGTTGGCTAAAATCGTGAAATCGTAGTACGTTGGACTTCTTAGACACAGTAATCTCCACCATTCCCTTTTATAAGTCACTCCAGCTCAGTCACGGACAAAATGGGGGGGGGGGGGCTACCCCTTCGCCTGACGAGCAGGTAAAAATGGCTCTCATCCGGCGGGGCATAATATTGCGGATCTCGCGGCGCTTGTGGGAAGTTTGGCTTTGAACCAGTGAAGCCGCGGAGTCGCAATCACGCAGGAACCTTCCAGGTAGTGGGCATTGCCTGGCGGCGCAGGGCGTCAAACCTTGACGATGACGTCATGGCGGCCCACATAATTCGAACATTTGGGAGGGGATTACGGCGGCGCGGAGCATCAGATCAAGGCAAGCTGAGCTGGCGCGGCAGAACCGCCGCTGGGGGGGGGGGGGGGGGGGCGTGCGTGGGTGTTCCCCCTAATGGACTGCTGGAATACACGCAATGAGGGGGATCTAGAGCTGGTCCGGGTGCATCGCGTCACATCTCAGAGCGCAAAGGCACCCAGGGTACTCGTCGCCGTGCTGACCCCGGCCGCTTCGCTCCCCTCCCCTGCAGGGTGTTCGTGCTCTTCATGGTGGGCGTGTCGATCGTGTGGATCCCGATCATCAACTCATCGGCTTCCAGCCAGCTGTTCGTCTACATCCAGAGCATCACCTCCTACCTGGCCCCGCCCATCTGCGCCATCTACGTCCTCGCTGTGTTCTGGCCACGCGCCAACGAGCAGGTGAGCGTGGGCGGTGATCACACACGTCAACGCTGGTGCGGCGAGGGGTGCTCTGAGCGCTGACGTCAGTGTATCGCTGGTGTGGCGAGGGGTGCTCTGAGCGCTGACGTCAGTGTATCGCTGGTGCGGCGAGGGGTGCTCTGAGCGCTGACGTCAGTGTATCGCTGGTGTGGCGAGGGGTGCTCTGAGCGCTGACGTCAGTGTATCGTGTTGGTGCGGCGAGGGGTGCTCTGAGCGCTGACGTCAGTGTATCGTTGGTGCGGCGAGGGGTGCTCTGAGCGCTGACGTCATGTATCGCTGGTGTGGCGAGGGGTGCTCTGAGCGCTGACGTCAGTGTATCGCTGGTGTGGCGAGGGGTGCTCTGAGCGCTGACGTCAGTGTATCGCTGGTGTGGCGAGGGTGCTCTGAGCGCTGACGTCAGTGTATCGTTGGTGCGGCGAGGGGTGCTCTGAGCGCTGACGTCAATGTATCGCTGGTGTGGCGAGGGGTGCTCTGAGCGCTGACGTCGTGTATCGCTGGTGCGGCGAGGGGTGCTCTGAGCGCTGATGTCAGTGTATCACTCATTGTTGTATGCCGAAGATCTTTGGTGGGACTCCTTCTCTCAGTGATATCAGCACTGAATGTATGTCGATCTGGTGCGCAAAAAATTCGATTAGCTATTCGTGTTCAAGAGTGGAAGAAGCAAGCTGCATCAACTTTCTTTCAACTTTCAACTTTCTTTCATCATCCCTACATTTGAATGGGGTCTTGAACCGAGTTAGACATTTTTAAGACCATTCCCTGCAGCTCACAGCCAATTGACGAATGACATCCACAACATATTAAAGCGATGGACTCACGAGGGTTGACGCTGAAAAATCCGTAATTGGCGGCAGATATGTTTGGGTTTTTCATTAGGTGGTATTTTAGTACCATTTGGTTTTGTGGATAGTCCTATTTAATAATGCTCTTATGTAATGCCTCTAAACGGCTGTGTCCCTAAATGCTGCCTCATGAGAGAGGGGACGAAGGTTATATGTCCCCAGACATGTACTTTTTGTTTCTTTATGTTGTCAGCGCACATTTGGTGTTCTGAAAATAATGCGAACAAAGAGCAACAGCAGTGAGGGAGGGGTAGGGAAGGACATGAACCATCCAAAGGGTTGCATAGCACCTTCCATGGGGATGCAGTCTCTCTTCGTGTCTGCGCCTATCCATACTTGGTCCCCAAAAGTATATGCTGCATACTCACGCTCGTTCGTTGTTCGTTCGTTCTCGTAAGTTCGTGGTTCGTTTGTATAGTTTGTTCGAACAGGTTTGTATAGTTCGTTCGTAAATGAAGTACCTGTAGGCCCCGCAGTTATGTAATGATATAGACTGTCATGCTGCACTGCAAGCTCACTAATACGTAATGTTTTTCTATGTGGTCGTATGCTGAGACAAGATAATAGTATAACAAGCTTTGTTCATATCTTAACTGCATTCAACTTTGGCACACATTGCAAGTGGCTGTGTTAAGAAAAATTTAGATGTGTTGTAACAATTCCGCTGAGATCCTTTTTGCACTGCACAGACTTTGCAGTGCCTTTAAGATGTTTGTTAATGAGCGCATCAAAAGGCTTGGTGAGTTGCTTCTGCTAAGCTCTATCGTCATAAGTTTGGAAACGCTAGGGGCCGCATGGACCCCCCCCCCCTACCTCCTATCAGTTTGCGTTCTGAAAAACGGCGAATCAAAGGCGAGGTTTAGTAGACGTACCTTTATGGTAATAGCTGTATCTATATAGCAATAGGCCTCTCTTCCAACACTGCGTCAGACTGTTGGCCGTGTATCCGACTGTTGTGTCTTTATCTGGCAGGGCGCCTTTTGGGGCATCATGCTGGGCCTGGTCCTCGGTATGGTGCGATTTGGAATCGAATTCTCCTACACGGTACCGCCGTGTGGCTCAGGTAATCATGCGCTGGTGGGTGTGTCATGCCTTGGACATCGTCTTTGGACCGACAAACCTGGAAACAACTCACAGCGAACCAGACCAGCTCGCTCCATGGCAGCCTGTCACAAAATGCGGATCCTGGTTGCTAACGCGGGATGCCGTGATTTAGATACTCACTGGGGGGAGAGGCAATAAGGGCATCCTAAGGTTTGTCGGCCTGTGACACAAATATGAAGGTCGTGGAAACCTGTCTTTTTGTCCAAGGATCAAAGGAATGTTTGCCGTTTGGTTTACGCAAAAAACGGACCATTTTGTTGTTCGCGTATTAAAGCTTACAAAAAAAAACATTTGCGACCTGTATAATATGATCATCTAGAAACGGCTCAACATTTCGTCAGCTTTAATCATTACCTTTTCTATTCTACTTTACTCTTACTTACTCTTCTCTTTGACAGACTTTGACTCTCTTGACTCTCTTGACTTTACTCGCAGGGTAAAACTGAATTTAGAATGAGACAATGCGTAAGGAAAACGGGATATCGTGCGCTTGGTAAAAAAATGCCAAGTTTATTTCGTCCTCAGCATGAATGGTTCCCAGACATGCCACTCGCTGTTGTTAGTTGGTCTGCCGCTTTTGGATTATGGGATATGGAGCCCGGGTCGGTGGAAATAATGAATTCATAACAACACCGCCCCTCTCTGCGCATTCAGTGACTCAGAATAATGAGAATAGGTGCCAGAGTCAACATTCGAGCACACAGAGGCGTACCCAAAATGATAGGGTAGGAGCCATGGGGCCTATGCCGCCGCACCCTGAACGAAGAGAGATTTGACATCGCTTCCTCCCTCCCGCAAAGCAAATTCTGGCTAAGCACCTGCGAGCATGTACATCTCAATTGTCTGGTGGATAACACCGGAGTTCTCATTCCGGAAAACGCTCCTTGTAAAATAGCAACAGAATTACACTTATTTAGACCATTCGGTCCCCCGGCCGCTGCGAAGGTGACCGAACTGGTCACAGCTGTAGCAGCCTAAGCCGCGCCGGAGCTCGCCCGTTCACTGCTGCCCCGCCGGATGTGCTGGGGCGCGCTGGTGTAGAACGCTCCCCCTGCCCTCCCCCCCCCCCCGTGGGGCCTTGGAAGCGGCCACGAACCGTGCACCAGTGCTGGCGCGAGACTGACCGGGCGGACGCGGCCGTATCACGCAGGCTTCCGGCGTCACGTGGCCGTCACCATCTTCTGATCAGGTCACGAATGTCGATCGACACAGAACGGTGGCATGTGGTTACCTGAACCCCGCGACCACAAGAGCACATCCGTCCCCTCCCCCCGCACTTGCTGTACGACTCGGGGTCGATCCCGGGGTCACCCAGCGGAGCCGCTCGGCCAGATTCAGCCGCAGCCATCGCTGTGTCTAACTGTGTCGGTCGGGTCGGCCGCAGGAAGCCGGCCACGTGCGGACGCGCTTGCGACCACGTGCGGGCGCACTTGCAGCCACGTACGGGCGCACTTGCAGCAACACGCCCGTTAACATGCCGGAAGACTGCCCGCATATCTAACAGGCCGTTATTGAGGTCGCGCGTGCAGACGACTGGCGGGGTGGGCAGATTGTGGTCGGGATGTAGAATGCGGTTGGTGATGCGACACCGGCTGGGGTATTTCGCCAACAGACCGTCACCTTGATCGTCTGGAGCCCTTGTAGATGCCCATGCCATCACAGTCTTATTGACGAATCGTTTAGGTGTAAGCGTCAGTTGATACATCTGGCCATTTTTACCTAAAATGGTTTCTTAAAAGCAAGCTCCTTAAACAAACTTTCCCTTTAAAACCAGCTCTTAGCGAAAGAGCCTTTTGTTCTACGCACAAGACCATACCATGCTGTCTCTCAGGTCCTGTTCAGGTCAGGTAAAGATCGAGTTGGAATGGAGTCAGATAAGGGCAATGCTCAATCATTTTTCCGGATTTCTTAATTGTGTGAACGTTGTATTTGCGCATATTATGACAAGGGCGGGGTTTCGCAAAATATGTTAGAGTATTAAACAGTGAAATATAGCAGCACACAAAATACGCCAGCAAATGGGCTTCTACCCGGATTTGACCCACTGTCCTCTCAAAGTTGGGACTTGAGCTCAACTGCGTATGTTTGCGGCGGGAGAGGGGCTGGAACCCGTCAATTGAATAGGAAACTACACTCCTGTTTGATGACTTGTTCAGTAGACATTGTCCGTATGAAGTATTGGTTTGATGTCTCATCACAAATGGGCAATGTAAATCGTTTTCACTGTCATCCATAATTTACCCCGAGTAAATTTTTTGGTCATCTTATATGCCAAGTACTACATGATTGATCCCGAATGGCATGCAATCAAATCCATTGAAGTTTGTGTCTTAACCATCGAAGACAGAGGATGGAGCATTACAGTGCTGAGGCCTGAGGTCGCACATACAGTCGTACAGGCCTGCCTTGTGTGAGATCGTTAAAACAATGCATTTTGATAGTGTAGCACGCAGTAAACTTGTAATGCATGCTTTCAACTGTTCCCGACGTAGTTGTACACCGCGATGTCCTCAGCCAAGGCCCTGTTTTCCTCCTGTTCAGGTTTTTAGTGTTAAAGTTGTATTTGTTGACAAATATCAGTGGCGTTTCCGGTCATGCTTGGCTAATTCTTGGTCTCATTTCAGGCCTTGAAGATCTAAGACCCGAGTGGGTGAAGAGAGCTGTATTCGACATTCATTTCCTCCACTTCGGCTGCATTTTATTCCTGATAGTGCTGATCGCAGTTATCATCATTTCTTTGTGCACAGAGCCCATTCCAAAAGAATGTGTGAGTCCGCCTTTGGCATCCTAATGTCCTATCTCACTCTCGCCGAAGCATTACTTATGCGATGCCATGACAATAACTACAGGGATTCCCCCACGTGTCGAGATCTGTAGTTCCATACTAAGCCTGTTAAGGTACGCAGTGCATGGGGTTGCGGATATTCGATGAGCTCTGAGTGGCGAGAGCTCCATGTCTGAAGCTGACGCATCCAGCGTTGTATCGCATCCGCCGCTTTAGCAGCACCCACGGCCGGGGCACCAGTTCGTCAGAGCCTACCGCACGGTGGCGGTTGGAAGCTCAACTATCGGTAGATAAGGGTGTGTTAACGCAGTAACTAAGCGCAATTATTTCGTGAAGATGCTCCTTTTTCTACTCCAGACGGACGCAATAAATAATTAGTGATCTAAACAGATGTTCACCCAAACACATATGCTACAAGGTACTGCCTGTTTCGTTAGTCTACTCCCAGAGCGCTCACTCCGCATGGCGCCGTCGCACGTGGCAGTAAGAGGGGCTTGAATGACACCAGGTCCGGCCGTTCCGCCCGGCAGCTGCACCGGCTGACGTTCTGGTCCCGGCACAGCACGGAGCCACGTGCGCCTCTCCCCTGCGACGTAACCGAGGAGGCGAAGACTCCACCACCCACAGGTAGGTGAACACCGCCCCCCTGCGACGTTCTCGAGGCCAAGACTTCACCACCCACAGGTAGGTGAACACCACTCCCCTGCGACGGACTTGAGGAGGCCAATGCTCCACCACGCACAGGAAGGTGAACACCGCTCCCCTGCGACGTTTTCAAGGAGGCGAAGACTCAACCACCCGCAGGTAAGTGAAGACCTCTCCCCGGCCGGACGTGGCCACTACTCATGGAGAACCCTGATACTCAACCTGGCCAACGCCCCCTCAGACGGTTCCAATGAGCATACGTGAGCATCTTTCGGCGAATCCGTCGCACGCCACGCTCGTTGAGCCTCCACCACAGGGGCGCAGTTTCGCAAAATGGGAAGAGAGAGGCTAAGCAGGAAAAAGCTGGTCTGAAATGACTAAAAAATCCGTTTTCTGTATTTGACCGGCTTAAACAATAAAGAATGGGAAAGTTCAGACCAGGTCGCGAGGCGTGCACATTTTATATACCCAGAGGGTATGTTTCTTATCTACACAGTCCGCTCTTGAGCTTCCACAACCGGTCCATGCAAGATATCATACAAAGCGGGGTTAACACGCGCTCGGTGGGCGCCAATTCGACCCCTCCCCGAAGGTTTTTCCGGAATGGTTTCCAAACGACGCGGCGTAGCTGCGCCAAATTTTGCATAGCTAAAGATAATTAAATAGCTATCGTTTGGTCTCAAGAATTTAGATACATCTTGTAAGAACACTCACCTACGGCAGGTCAAAGTTAGGCCATGGATTCGGCGAGGACAGTTTCTGGGAAATCGTTCAATCTGATTCAACAACGAAGCGTTAGACGAAGCCAAACACGTCCGAGATAGATTCGTAGACAACACAAAAATTGAGTGAATAAATTCCATGGACCTAGGATTCTGTATAAAGTCAGACAAAGATCAAAACCAACATGTTCTGTCATTCTAGAGCCTGTTATATTGAGTAGTTCATGGTGCTCATTTATGATTTATTGATGACAGGAACCGTATTATACATCTTCTATGAACTTATTTAAGGCCAGAATAGGCCACTAACCTGAAATGCCCCATCAACATTTTTTTCGCAACATACTGCTAAGAGTAATATTTGACGCCCTTTCCAATGCAAATCTCCTAGCATTCTTTTATAATTTTGGCCACCATGACCTTCAAACGAAGTTACTGACCTTACATAAACACTAACAACCTCATGCTTAGCACTTGCTCAGCAATGGGTGTGCACATCCCTCTGACCGTCTACAGCCGTGTGCCCCTCAGAGCCGGCGCCAAGCGGCCCGCCATCTCTGGGCCGCAAGCTGTTCAACCTGATCTGCGGGGTGGAGGAGCGCGCCGGCGCGCCGGCGGATGCGTCCGACCCGCGCCGTCTCATGACCGACTTGGAGCGCGCCAAGGCCGACGCCGACTCGCTGCACGAGGACCCCAAACAGAGAGTGTGAGTCACGCTACCGTGAGGTCTGAGTCACGCCACCGTCAGGTGTGAGTCGCGCCGCCGTCAGGAGTGAGTCGCGCCGTCTTCAGGTGTGATTTGCGCCGTCGTCAGGTGTGAGTCACGCCACCGTCAGGTGTGAGTCGCGCCGCTGTTAGGTGTGAGTCGTGCCGCCGTCAGGTGTGAGAAGCACCGCCATCAGTTGCCGAACGAGCGGGTCGATGATAACGCTGGCGTCAGTTATGGACTGAAGGATCAGGACGGGTTTGGTCGCCCTCCAATACACGGCATATAATGATGGGTTCCATGATTGCTGGAGAAAATTTTGCCTGAAGCTGGTGACGTTCAAATGCCTGACGTCGTCTCTGTCCCAGACGATGCAAAAAACAACAGAGAAGCGGTGTCCCTGCCCAGATAATTACTAGATAAAAACAGGCCCAACCACAAGCTAAGACACAGGGGCATGCTACTGTTGTGGTTTCAGAACAACGTCGGACAATGGCAGCAATATATCTGCACTGCATATTGATGATGCTAAAGGAAGGGTGATGGGGTGCGGAAAAAGATGTTTCGTGGCAGCTTTCGGTCCAATGGTCGCTTTTTTCATTCGTAATACAAACATTCGTCTGGTGCATGCAAGCAGTTTTTGTCTTTTACGTTTTAGCTTTTTGTACTGTCTGGCGTGTTGTCCTGAGAGAGCTGTGCTCGCACAAATACACATCAAACAAACAATGAGAATGCGTATTGTGACCGCCTCAGGGTCAAGGCTCGGACGTGAAATCACCCAGGGATGGGAGATTTGCGCAGGCATACCTGACCAGGTCTGTGATCTGTCCGCTTTTCAGAGTTGTCAACGTCTTGGCCCTTTTTACGATGGCCATCTCCCTGGGAATGTATGTCTACTACCGATGAAGCAAGATGGAGCATAATCCGATGACGTTGCGGAACAAGACGACCTCATCGGATGACGCTTGGGAACAAGACAGCCTCGTCGGATGACGCTGGGAAGCAAGACAGCATTATAGGATGACGCTGGGAAGAAGGATGGGCTCATCGTATGCTGCTGTGGAGCAAGCGTCGTCCCTTCTGATCACCGCGCGGGACTGATAGCTTTTCCAGTGTCTGGCACGTGTAGGCTTACTGGCACAAGAGGCTGATCGATTTGTGCGGCTGGTTGCTTGACACTAGCGTCGGTGATTGCATGCTTCATGCCACATCCGCTGAATTCTGCGATTTCGAACTTTGAAATTTTGACATTTGGAATATTGTTTAATTCATTACGAGGCCATGTGTTGAAATCATGCCAGGCAAGGCTGCGTTGGAGTGCGTACTTTGCAGTGATATAGGAAAGCAGCGGACGTGCATGCGTAATACATAGGCATACATAATGCACGATTTCGTGGGTGTATGAACTAGTATGTTGTTCAGGATAAAGTAAAGTAGACGAGCAAATAGGCACCAAATGTTTCACTATCTTCAAAAAAAGGTTGCGGTAAAATGGGGAGCAATAATGCTTGTTTTACTGTAACTGATCGGCTGCAACAAAGGCATACAGCTAGTAACCATATGTGCGCACTTCTTAAAATGTTTTGGAGCGGACTATATTAGTGATAAGCACAAGTGATTATACATGGATAATTCCTGAGAAATAAACAAAAATGAGGACGTCTGAAAATATTTAGCGGTGGGACTCAAGTTCCTATAGGAACTTGAGTACACACCAGGTGCATGGCCAAAGCCACGCAGCTGGTATGCATGTGCACTACTTGGTGCTCTCTTTCTTGTACACTGTGTATATGCTATCAGTATTTTTATCCTTACACCTTGCTTATTTTGTGTAGATGTACAATTTGGGAATTCTAGCGAGCACAAATAGTCCTTATGATCCGTAAATTTTCGGGCTCTGTGTTCCCTTATTTTTGTCAAAACGAGCGGCAGGCCAAACAATTTCGAGTTGAGCCACCTGAATCAATACTTGGGAAAAGACATGCCTTTTTCCAGACCTCGATCGGAAATGACTTTCCAATCGCAAATGCATGTCAATGTGAGAAATAATCGAGATTGGCATGGTGAACAGGATGGCCCGCATAACAGCGAGTATCTCAGAGCTGTTTACTCGGTACCCACACCCGTTGGTGCTCCGATTAAATGCATTCGTATCTCTAAGCTTTGCATTTAGTACTGACCGAGCAACACGTATAGCTTATATGCTTTCTAATGCAATGCTTTCCGTTGGAATGAGTGCCGCTATTTTCCACCGAACACTCGCTGCACTAGTAAAACCCGTGGTCTCGACGGATTGCCATTCGGTGCCATGGTTCCATTTGAGTGATCCTTTTTTATCCGTGCACAGCCATTTCATTGCCCGGATTGACGCATTATGCACGAAGCAAGACATGATGACGTTTATCAAGCGCGGCAAAAAAATATTGATTTATTAAGTACTAACTCTTGGATTAAATATCTGAATGTGCTACGTCATTGTGGGAAAACCTGTCGAGTGCCATGCACAGGAAGATTGTTAAGAAGCTAGGTATTTAGTTTTAAGGGTCTGTCAACTGCAATGATTCTGCCGCCCGTTACGTCAGAGGACTGATACGAGTTCGTCACTAAACAAGGTGTTGCTCATCTCCATCTTATCCTCTGCACGTACCACAAGAGAGCGAGCCTTGAAAATAACGACTCGGCATCACAAAGTTGGCTGACCCCTCCATGCCTGTCGACTAGGTCCTCCCCCGCATTATCGGAGGTGGCCTCAGTGTCGAGCAGCTTTGCCGGCCGGCGCTGCCAATCAGCAGTCAGCTCGATATAGAGTCAGCCTCCACTCACACTGTCACCTGCCTTCGAGAGCCACGCATGCTACCTAGTGACGGCACCACACATTGGGCCGGGCAGGTCGCCCTGGCTACAACGGTGTATATCAACCCATCCTGTATATGCCAGCGAATATGGGTGTTTTACCCAGCAAGGTGAGAGGCCCTCGAAAGCTACGATGCGTCTTCTTTAGCTTCAGTTTAGTGGGATAAGTAGCTTAGTCGTACAGATGATGTTTGTATGAGGCTGTTTTTATTTAGCTACTCCAGCTGAGTAAAAGCATTGACGGCTTGGGTTTCATGAACATCTAGCACATATGTCCACCAAAGGTGTAATGCTGCTGCAAAGCTGCTGAGCAGCCAGACAATTCTGGCTCATCAAACCTGGTGCAGCTGAACAGAAAACCTTCTCGTATAAACATGAATATTCCCAGCTAAATCAACCCACTAAATATCGTACAGATACCTTGATGAGTTGCAGCAAAATAGAAAAAAAGAAGCTTCCGCCAAACAGAAAGCTCCCCGTTGCGACCAGGAAGTTCCGTTCATTTCCAGACGTACAGCCTGTCATGAACGATGCGGTGTCTCAAAAGAAGTCTGTGGTTTGATGAACACCCGATAAGCAGCGGCATGTCTGTTATAACAGAGACAGGCTTCCACCCTGTCCTGCCAATATTTTGGATTGTCAAGGTGTGTGGTAGGGCAGGAAAGCCTGATGAATACAGCCAAGGCAAGGTAAGGTAGACAGCAGTCTTCTGACCGGACAAGGCCTATTTCTTGATTAGGAGCAGGGCTCTGCTGCGACTGAAAGATGATAAATGCTCTGATCGAGAAGGGGGCCCTAGCAAAATAGGCATGGAGTATGTGAGTAGGGAAAACATCCATATGACACCAATTTTTAGCCAAAGTGTTTCATTAAAACTGCACTCTTTGAGACGCTTGAGAAGTATGGAAAACATTATATTTGCATCCATGTCATCATAAAGATTGAGCCAGCACTGCTCACTTGACATTTTGGCAGTCACATTGCTACTCATCCACGGTCCCTTCTGTTCATACTGTGGCGCCTTTTGTCAATCGGTGCGCGTAGTGACGCGTAAGCGGACGCCGCGGACGGACGGACGGCGTCTCAGTTGTGGGGGCGACGGATACGGAAGAGCCGTTGAAGGATGTTGCGAAAAGGAAGTAACCCTGGAGACAGATTACGAGGAATATGTGACGCATTGCAGTGGTGCTTCTTTGTGTACCGTACTGAACGTTAATCGGAGTATCTCGCTGCGATGGGACAGGCGAAGCAGGCCGCAGCGAGGTGCCGCTGCTAATGCGACGTCCGATAGGACCAAACAAAGCCAAACTCAAAACGCTCCAAACGGCAGAAACCAGACTCAAGGCTCAAACGCTCACGCAAACTACGTAAAGGTAGCTAATGCTTCTAAGCCCAGAGTGACTTGACGCATGCAGACTAGAACAGTGTGTGCAAATGGCATATTTTCAGTGAAGAGGCTACGGCAGATGTATTATGTGCACTGCTAGGAAAACCCAACACTTAACACGCACCCTGGTGGCCCGTTGAATGCTCTTCGCTCGGGTAAAGTGTCAATCTGCCCCCCTAAAATTTCAAAAGCAAAGGAAGCTAGCGACACCAGATTCCCAGAGTAGGTTGAGTAGGTTAGGTTAGGTTAGGTTAGGTTAGGTTAGGTTAGGTTAGGTTAGGTTAGGTTAGGTTAGGTTAGGTTAGGTTAGGTTAAAAAACCACAGTGCACCCCGAGCCATTTATTGCACCATAGTGCACCCCGTAAGAGTCTACCGCAGAGCTTATAGCTCCGACACTATCCGGATCACGGTCTTGAGCTTCTGGACTTAAGTTATCAAAGGATCAGGCTAACTTATTATTTTTGCCAATTTGACCTAGGTCATATCAAGGTCAAGCTATGGCATGCGGAACATGGCGAACAAATGGACAATAGTGCACCTCGCACTAGCCAGCTGATCGGGATGCGCTACGTCGCAAATAAGGGATTTACTGATTTCGAGGACCAAAGTGCACCCCGCTAAAACGCCGTGACTAGGTAAACTGCTGCCAAATATGAAAATGGGTCAAAATCGCATTTCCAAAAATTTGACCCACTCCAAAATTTGCCAAAAATCCTTTGATTTACCTTTGTCCCATGATTTGACACCAAACAAGCTCGACAGACCCCCCAACAAGAGATGAAATAAATTACCCGAAAAGTGGCAGTCCATTTTGGGACCGTAGGATTTAGCCTACTATTGACGCCATGTTAACAGAAAGGGACGCATTCGATGCAAAACGTTCTGGGTGCTTTGTATATATGAAGAGGTGATTTTGAAGAAAAAAACTGCTGTAAAAACCCTCAAAATTACATTTTTGAGCTGATTTTTGTTTTTTTATTTATAATTTTTGTCAATTTGTTTCCTTATTTTTCTTAGGTATTAAGGTTTTAAAACGGTGCCATTTTGTAAACGTTGTTAATTTGGCGTAGAAAAGTGTCTTGCTGTAGCCGATTTGTTGTGTTGAGCCGCATGGTTCTTATACCATTGTGTTTGAAAAACAGCTGTACGCGTAAGAAATTGAAAAACATTCCTGCATTCAAAGCGATGCTGTGACTTCGTTTCTGGATATATTTTGAATGGGCGAACTGCGTTGGAAAGTGGGGGCTCACAAGGTTGTATTTTTTATATTTTCTAGTCAAAGATTAATATTTTGGTCAGAAATGCCATGTACATATTTTGTCAATTTTTTGTATACCTAATCCTAGTGCTATGCTAATCGTAAGCTTTCTTTTTTCTGTATACTTCACGCTTAAAAACGGCAATCCTTAAAAAGCGCATTGACGGTAGAGTTGCGTTCTGTTAAATTCGCAGAGGCAGGGGGCACAAGGAGCACGGGGCACCAGAGGGCAGAGCAGTCGAGGAGCCCCAAGATCTCCTCGGGACTTGGGGCCCAAAGAGCCAAATTTTCGGTCCGCTTGCCGCTTTGGGGAACGACGTCCCGCACCGATTCGGGGCCAGCTACTATGTCCGAAGGGTTTCCTGCGTCAGGGAGAAACCAATGTATAATGTATCTTACTGAGGGCCTCCGGATCGACCAGGAGTCCCCCCCCCCCCCCCCCACCTGTTTTGCCGGAATGGCAGCCGGTAGACACCTTGCTCTGGAACGGAATGGTATGTCCCTTTAGCTCTCAGCCGGGAAGATAACGCGCCCCCTAATGATATACCCACGAGGCCCTTGTCCGGAAAAAGGTACGGGCTGTCGTAAGGGTTCAGCAGAGGGAATCCAAATGAGGTCAGAAAAAGGTCAATCCATATTTGCCTGAAGACATCCGTCCTTTGCACAAACGACTTGTCAAACAAATTACATGAAAGAAAATACATCACTACGCTTCCAATTTTAGGGGCAAGACAGCCGACGTTCCGGATTGCAGTTACGGTAAACGGAACGGCGTTGGCCGCCGAGGATAACACCAGGCGACAGGCGCCTGGCACGCGAAAGCAACTATGTTTCGGGAGCTCCCGAAATCGGTTCACACCGTTCAAAGATCAAACTAGTTCACCTTTCTGATTTTGATGATGTCTTCTGAACACATAAACAGTTCCAGTAACACGAAAGCACTGATCCTGTCTTCGCTCTTCCGTTCCACCTCTAGAACGGGAGAAGGGACCGGAATAATGTCATTTACGACGCCAGTTCCTGACGTAAATCTCAATCAGCTCTTGCCGTCAATCTTTAAAAATGGCACAGCTGGCGTGTACTTCAAAACAGTTTTTGAGTCGTCGAAATAAGACTTGCGAGCACGAATTTTTAAAAATTCTACGTAACTTT